TCACCCTGTGCCCACTCTCTCCATCCTTCCAGGGTCAGGGAGGCACCCCAGCCATGTGAGGCCCAATGGTTCTCTCCTACTCCCTGTGTTTCCCCCATTCCCTATGGATTCTGATGCCCCCCTTGTTCTCCCATCCCCACCAGGGTCAGGGGAGCACCCCAGCCATGTCAGGGCCAATGGTTTCCCCAAATTCCCCATGGCTGCCCCTATTCCCTGCACTTCTCCCTATTCCCCACAGATCCTGACCCCCTCCTTGTCCCCCCTGCATCCCCACTTTGCCCGTCCCCACCAGGGTCAGGGTCAATGGTTTCCCAAAATTCGCCAGGGCTCCCCATTTCCACGGATTTCCCGTAGTTCCACACAGCTGCCCCTTTTCCCTGCTTCTCCCCACATTCCCCGTGGATTCCGACACCTCCTTGCTGCCCCATCCTGACTTTCCCATCCCCACCAGGGTCAGGGATCCACCACAGCCACGTCAGGCCCAAGGGTTTCCCAAAATTCCTCAGGGCTCCCCATTTCCCTGGTTTCCTGTAATTCCACCCAGCTCCCCCTTCTCCCTGCCTCTCCCACATTTCCCCTGGATTCTGGCACCCCCCATCTCCATTTTTCCATCCCCACCAAGGTCCAGGGACCACCCCACAGATCCTGGGGTACACCCCCACCAGTGCCAATGTTCTCCCCCTTTTCCCTGTGTTTCCCCCCATTCCCTGGGGATTCTGACACCCCCTTACTCCCCTTCCCCTTTCCTGTCCCCATCAGGGAACCACCCCCCCAAATCCTGGGATTCCCCTACGCCAGGGATAACAACATTCCCGAGCCAGGGCGGGGTGTCCTGTGTCATCCCCCATTAAATCCAAGCCTTCCCGCCGGATTCCAGGGAATGTGGCAGGTGGAGGAGTCACCATCCCGGATTTCCGGAGTGACACCGGCACAGCATTCCCGGGGCCTGCCCAGGGCACCAATGGGAGCCTCTGCAGCCCCTGTGGAAGCTCCACACCCCACATTCCTGACTCCAGCATCATCCCAGAAATTCGTCCCAGCGCTTCCTGCCCTGGCAGGGGAGGAGACACAGCCAAGGAATCCCAAAAAGTTCCTCCATGGCATGTCCCAGCATTCCCTGAGCCCTGCTGGAGCAGGAGCTGACACACCTGAGGGGTGGGCAAATCCACCTCCCCACTCCATGGATGGGAATTCCCTGGGGGAATCTGGGAGGGTTTATTCGAGCAGAGCACCTGGAAAAGTTGGGAGAGAGGATCCCCCATTTCCCCAGCCCCTCTCTCCCAGACTGGCTCCAAGGAAGCGGGAGAACAGGAGGGCAAAACCAGGATTTTCTCTTTAAATTCCTTGGAATCCTCGCATTCCATGGGTGAAACACCACAGCCTGGCAACAGGAATTTCGGGATAACAGAGGCTACGACAGCATCCTGTTGTTTTTTGGGGATGCCTTAAGGCCACTCTCGCAGTACCCAAATCCTGGGATGTGAGTGCCCAAGGAATTCTGGGATCCTCTGAGCCCTCCTGGGTCTGAAAACTGGGATGCAGGGGCTGTGTCTGGCCTTGCCCTCCCTGGAATGGGGACGTTGCCCTCCCTGGAATGGGTGAATCCCGTGTTTTTTGGGAGGGTTCCCTGATCATGGAGCCAAGTGGGAGAGGGGGGGAACAAGGGGGCATCAGAATCCATGGATGGGGAATGTGGTGAATGAGGGGAGCCACTGGGAATTGCAGGGAACCACAGGAAAGGGGGATCCATGTGGAGCAGAGTTCTGGGAAGCTCCAGGAGCTGTGGGAGCTCGGGGGGAGTGGGGGGGGGCACCAGGGAAACCACAGGGGGCTGTTGGGAACCCAGGGATCTGAAGGTCTGGGAAGCTGGAAAAGGGCCAGCCCAGGCACTTCCCAGCCCATCCTCATCCCTCTGGATTGGGAATACCTCCCTCTTCATCCCAAATCCCAGCCCAGCAGGGCCATGGGGGGAAGAAGCCCCATGGGAATTGGAATCCTCTTGGGAAAGGAAGGATTCCCACCCAAACTCAGGCTCTGCTGCTTCCCAAGGGATTCCTGCCAGTGTGGCTGGATCCCAGCAGAGCTGTGTCCCAGCTGGGCAGGGGCATTCCCAAGTTTTGGGGTTCAGGGAGGGCAGGGATCCCGACCAAGGGCACCTGCAGCATTCCCAGCAACTCCCACAGAATTCCCTGAAAGGGAATGAGGCAGGATGAGACATGGAAAATCCCAGAGCTGGGGCTGGGGAATCCCAGGAGGGGGCTCGCACTCCAGAGGGGGTTGGTTTGCTCCAGAAAACAGGGAATGGCACATCCCAGTGGCGGGGACAGAGCTGGGGGGAGGAGATTCAGCTGTGCCCGGGTTTTCTATGGAATCTCAGCCCTTCCCAGAGCCTCTTTCCCAACATCCTCATGGATGGAGATGACAGATCAGGGTCTCCCTTCTCGGCTTCTTTTCCCCCCTCCATGAGACCCCAGGCCACGGGAAAGCCTCCCGGGTTTTGGCCGCATCCCACCCTCCAATCCCAGGGATTCCTCATCCCAAGGGGGCCCCCAGGGAAATGTGCTTTGGGCAGCTGATTCCAGGCCCAGGGACACAGAGCCAGGGGCTGGGAAAGGCAGGGAGGACGGTGAATGGAGGAGTGGGAAAGCCCAGGAGGCAGATGGACACTGATCCCACAGAACCCAGGGATACAGGGGCCACATTCCTACCCCAGGGAAAAAGCACCACGGGAGGAGGAAGGAAAAACAACCAACCCAAACTGAAATGTTTATTCCCACCTGGAGTCACTCCCAGCGGGAAGGGCCGGACACCCCTCCAGGATTGGTGTCTCCTCCTCATCCCGCAGCAATCCCAGCACTCCGAGGGCTCCTGGAGCCCCTGGAGCCACAGGGACAGCAGGAACTGGGGGAGGCAGGCAGGGAGGGGGATCCCGGTATGGCTCCCTTGGGATCCCCTCCCCAGGCACGGAGCTGGGAAGTGGAGGTGTCTGCAGGGAGCTGGGAAGGGGATGTGAATGCAGGGAGCTGGGAAGGGGATGTGAATGCAGGGAGCTGGGAAGGGGAGGTGTCTGCCCCGGGGTGCACTGGGCTCCAGAGGCAGAGGAATCCAGGAGGAATCCAGGAGGAGCTCAGGAGGAGTTCATGCTCTCCCACTGCCGGAAGATGCGGAACACCTTGCAGGACTTCTCTGAGAGGCTCTGGAAAAGTGGGAGCAAACAAACAGCTGGAGTCAAGGCAGGAGCAGGGCCTGACAAAGGGACACGAGGAGAAACTGCAGCAAGAGATCCAAAAGGAAGCCCATCCATCCCAAATTGTGCCCAGAGGGATCCAGCTCCACACACAGCATTGCCACGGATCAGTCCTGGGAAGGGGCTGGGAATGGGGTCCTGCAGACACACGTTTGGCCCTCGTCTCCCAGGGCCTGGATTCAGCCCAGAGGAAGCCCATCCATCCCAAACCATGCCCAGAGGGACGCAGCCCATGGATCCAGGAATCCCAGGGAACCCCAGGCTCACCACCGGCTCCGTGTCGGGCACCGTGTCGCCCCCGCGGGTGCCCAGGAGGGCGTTCAGCACCATTTTCCAGCCCGGCTCCGCCTTCCCGGGCTTCTCCGGCTGGGACGCGGCATCCTCCAGGCACTCCTGTCCCGCCCCGCTGCTCACCCAGGGACACCAGGCCCGGTGCTGGGAGCTGGGCTGGAAGAAGCTCCTGGGGGAAGCGTCCTGGGAACGGAGAGGAAGGAATGGGGGGGTGGGCAGTGGAATCCCCCTCCACACCCAAACCCCCCCCCAGGAGCGGGAAGAGCGTTCCCAGCTCTGTGTGCTCACCGAGCCTCCGGAGGAGCAGAGCCGCGCCCGCTTGGCCCTGCGCACGGGGCTGGACGGCACCTCCGCCGTGTCCCCCTGGCCCATGCTCCGCGTCACCGGGTCCCCCTGGCCCATGCTCCGCGTCACCGGGTCCCCCTGGCCCATGCTCCGCGTCACCGGCCGGCTCCGCAGAGCGGGAACCGCCGCCTCCAGCTCCCCCCGCTCCAGGGAGCCGCCAGAGTCCCGGGAGACGGGCCGGGATACGGACGGGGACGGGCTCTTCTCCTGCTGCCAGGGGGGGAAATGGGAATTAGGGAGCTCCTCTGGACACCTCCAGCTCCCCCCGCTCCAGGGAGGTGGGAGAACCCCCACCCCGTGGGTGGGACACGGATAGGGATGGGTTCTTCTTGTTCAGCCAGGGGGGGAAAACAGGGAATTATGGAGATGGAGCCCATGGAGCTGGGAGAATCCCGACCCCCAGGGTGGGAGATGGATGGGGATGGGCCCTTGTTGTGCTGCCAGGGGGTAAACCCATGGAATTGTGGAGATCCACGGACACCCCCATGCAGGGGGTGGGGGAATCCTGCCCAGCTCAAACAGGGGATCAGATCCTCGTCCACCCACATTCCCTCCACATCCACATTCCCTTCCCAGCAGGAGATCCTGGCTATGGATGAGGGAGCCCATGGGTGGTGCCAGTTGAGTCCAGCCGGACAGGGACATGGCTGGAGCCCCCGGAGCCCCCCAGGTGTCCCTGTGTGTTGTCCCTGTGGGTGTCCCCATGGGTGTCCCTGTGTGTTGTCCCCATGGGTGTCCCTGTGTGTTGTCCCTGTGTGTTGTCCCTGTGGGTGTCCCTGTGTGTTGTCCCTGTGGGTGTCCCCATGGGTGTCCCTGTGTGTTGTCCCTGTGTGTTGTCCCTGTGGGTGTCCCCATGGGTGTCCCTGTGGGTGTCCCTGTGGGTGTCCCTGTGTGTTGTCCCTGTGGGTGTCCCTGTGTGCTGTCCTTGTGGGTGTCCCTGTGGGTGTCCCCATGGGTGTCCCTGTGGGTGTCCCTGTGTGTTGTCCCCGTGGGTGTCCCCGTGGGTGTCCCCGTGGGTGTCCCCGTGGCTCCCTCGGCCGTACCTGCTCTGCCGTGGGCGGGAGGGTGTCCTGGCTGCGGGTGCCGATCCTGCGTGGGGACATGGGGGACAGGGACACGGGGGACGGGGACATGGGGGACGTGGCAGCGGGCGGGACACGCTCTGAGGGCGCCGGGGCGGGATCCGGCTCCGGAGCCGCAGATTCCAGCTGGTGGAAGGCCCAGAGCCCCACCTTCCTCATGCAGTGGGAGCAGGAGATCACCGGCAGGCTCGGGGAGCTGCTGGCACTGCAGGGACACGGGACGGGCTGGGAAACTGGGAATGGGTGGCATTCCCACCCCAGGGACACCTCCCGCCAGCCCAGGGTGCTCCAACCCGGCCAGCCTGGCCCAGGATGCTCCAGGGGTGGGCAGGGAAAATATGGAAACAGCGGGAGACAGTGGAAATAGGGAAGTAGTGAAAACTGAAATAAGGGAATTGGGAGCACAGGGAGAAAGAGGGGAATAGGGATAATAGTGAAAGGAAGCAGGAGTGGAGAGAAAACTAAGGAAACGGGAATGTAGGGACAAGAGGGAAAAAGGGAAAACTGGAAAAGAAGGAATATAGGAAGAGAGTGAGATAAGGGAACTGGGAGAAAAGTGAAGAGGGAAAATAGGAAGAGTGAACGATAGTGGAAACAGAACAACAGTGGAGTAAGGGAAGCAGGAGCAGAGTGAAAAAGAGGGAAAAGGAGGGGAAAGAGTGGAAAATGGTGAAATAAGGGAAGAAGGAATACAGTGAAAAATTGGGGAAAATAGGGAAAACAGTGAAAAAGAGGGAAAAGGGGAATAGAGTGAAAAAGGGAAGCGAGAGCAGAGTGAAGAGGAGGGAAAAGGGGCCAGGGGTGGGCCGGGGGAGTGCCCGTTTCCCGGGAGGAGGAGCCCGCGGGTGTCCCAGCCCTTCCCGGGGGTATCCCAGACCCTCCCGCGGGTGTCCCAGCCCCTCCCGTGGGTGTCCCACCTGCAATCCCAGCCGCACAGCGCCAGGACACAGGCAGGAACCACGTGGCCCTGCGGGCTTTCCTTGGAAAACGGCCCGGGGGGCTTCTCCCCTTCCCGGGGGGGCTCCGGATCCTCCTCCAGCAGCTCCAGGAGGAGCCCGAGCGTGTCCTCCGACAGCGCCTGCGGAGCACGGGGGGGCTCGGCTGGGATTCCAGTGCAATTCCAGGCATTTCCACAGGCAGGGAAACCCCTTTTCCCAGCGTCCAACACCCCCCCTGCCCCCAACAGAGAAAAGGAACGGATTCCTCCTGCCTTGTTCCCCTCTGGATCCACATTCCAGGACTTCTAGTCCACTTAACAGGGGTCCCAAACCCTCTGAGGGATCCCAAATCCCATTTCTCAAATTCCCTGAGAGATCCCGAATCCCATTTCCCAAATCTCCTGTGGGACCCCAGATCCCATTTCCCAGAGGAGCCTGTGGGACTCCAAATCCCATTCCCCAAGGGGGCCTGTGGAATCCCAAATCCCCTGCGGGATCCCAAATCCCATTTCCCAAATTCCCTTTGTGATCCCAAATCCCACTTCCCAAGGGAGCCTGTGGGACCCCAAATCCCATTTCCCAAATTCCCCGTGAGATCCCGAATCCCATTCCCAATCCGTGGGCATTCCCGGGTTCGGGAAGCTGGGGCAGGGACCCACCAGGCTGTCCAGCTGCTCCGGGGCCAGGCGTGGCAGCTGCAGCTCCAGCCGCCACAGCCTCTGGAAGCGCTCCTGGAATTCCCGCAGGAGCAGGCGCGGCTCGTCCAGCGGCAACAGGGCAAAGTGAGCTGGGGGAAACAGGAATGATGGGGGAGAAATAGGGAATAATGGTGGGGAAATTAGGGAATCACGGTTGAAAAAACAAGGAATAATGCTGGGAAAAACGGGGACTCATGGTGGGAAAAATATGGAATAATGGTGGAAATATTAGGGAATAATGGGTAAAAAATAGGGAAAAACTACGGGAAAATAGGGAATAGGGGTGGATAAATGGGAATAGTGATGGATAAATGGGAATAGTGGTGGATAAGCAGGGAACAGTGGTGGGAAGTTTGGGAAGGGTGG